AACTTTTACAACATCAACAACAACAGCAACAACAACAGCAGCAGCCAGAATCTACCAAACTTAATCTTAAACGACAGTGTCGACAACAACATGCTGGATGATTCTAGAAACTTCCAACAAACACCTCCGCAACATTTAGTCAGCAACGACAAAATCGCTGCCCAGCAGCGCCTGCAGCCTCTGCCGCTGCCACTAAATTTAGACACGAGACGCTTCTTGGTTCAGTCGCCTAAGTATAGGCAGAGGATTCATTTCCCGACAACGTTTCTGCAGCAGCAGCAGAGACAGCAGCAGAGACAACAGCAACAACAGTTGATGCAACAGTATCGACAGAATCAGTTGCTGAAAAATTCCTCTCAACCGCCTCAGTCGCAACTTCCTCAGAAACCGCAACAGCTGCAGCATGATTTTAGATACAAAAATGAGAAGTTACGAGACAAGTTGGAAACAAAACAGCAACATCAGCAACAAGATCAAAATGGCTTCCCAACAAATCAACAATTTTCTCAACAGTGCCCTTCCTACAACAACAACAGCAACAACAACAACAACCCGACGAACGCCATCTCTATAGACACAAGCACACGCAACAACAACATCAACAATAACAACATAGATGAGTTTGTTGAAAACTCGTCATTACTATCACCTCTCTCCAGATCAACAACACCAACAACAGTTGCGAATTCATCTTCTGGCCACCCATGGCGTCAACAACATCAGGAAGATTCAATGCAACAACAACAATTTCAACAACATCAACATCGGAGACAATTACGCACTTCCACAAACTTGGACCAACTACCACCTTTAAACTATCTACCTACGTCCAACTTACCAACCCTTATCCACCACCAACAACTTCAGCAAGAACAGCAACAACAGCAGACAACAACAATTTCAGCAGCAGCAGCAACAACAACAACTTCGGCAGCAAAAACAACAACTTTTTCAGAAACACAATTATGCTGATGATGAATCATTGTTAGAGTACCACTACAGCCTAAATTGCGACCCGAACGTCCAGCAACAACATCGTGAACGCTTCCTTATGAAACTGCAACAACGACAACTACAGCAACATCAGCAGAAACTACAAAAACAACAGCAACAACTCTTACAGCAGCAGCAGCAGCAGCAAGCACTTCTTTTGAAACAGAAGGAATCAATCTCTTTACAAGAAGAACTGCAAAAGGAGCATCAGCAACAACAGGAGATTCTACTGAAAGAACTGAGACAGAAAAACTTATTTGGGCCAAAATCACATCCCTACCGTCACCGCCAACAACAACCTCAGCAGCAACAGCAGCAGCAGCAGCAACCACAAAGACCACAACAGTCGCCATCGTATTGCGCGGAGCGTGGCTCTCCATACAGTTCAGTGATGGTCATGCTGTCGAGTTGTCAGTTATTCAACGAGGCCAGCAAGCATCCATTCACCGTTCACTCCCCATCACCGTCGTCTACGTCATCGTCCCCCTCATCAATACCCAACAATAGCGTTGGTAGAAATTTCAAAACGCCCGCGTCTGCCCTAGCTAGCAGTGTGGTCAGTGGGGTCGGTGCTGGGGGCACCAACAAGCTCAGAAGAAGCAACTCAGCCCTCAGCTGCTCGACTACGGAAGACGGCGATGAAGATATCGACGACCAATCGCTAGCTGTGGTCGGTTGTCAATCGAATGGTGGCCCTGACGACAGCCACGAGTGCGACGATGGTGAGGATGGGGAGAATTCCTCAAGAATCTCGCTGATAAACTTCATAGACTCGGATGAGCAGAAAATTCTAACTGAGAATTACTGGCTGAAGAATGGCCTGCTGCCGGATGAGAGTCTCATGCTCCTGGATAGCCATTTTGAGGTCATCAACAAGGTCGTAGCTGCTTATGAGAAGTTTCTCGATTGTGGTACCAACACTAATCTGGCTCTGGAGAAAGAATTAAACGTTAGTGATGTGTGTGTTTTGTGTGTCTGTGTGTGCGTGCGTGTGTGTGTGCTTTTGTCTGTGCGTGTGATGCGTCTTTGTGTGTGTGTGTGTGTGATGCGTCTGTGTGTGTGTGTGTGTGTGTGTGCATACGTTTTGAGCAACATTACAAGTAAAGACTAGACCGGCTTTTAATTTTTATGACGGTTGTTGATCTTTCGAGTTTGTGAATCCTTGAAATTTATAAAATTTTGCGAATGTTTGGTGGCAGTTTCGTTCGAGAGATGTTTGCTCGTTCGTTTCTTTCTTTGTTTGCTCAGCTCGCATTCTCTGTTGGTGTTGCTTGGATAGGAGAAGATAGACGAAATTTATAATTTTTCTCTCCCCTGTACATTTCAAAATTATAACCCATCTAAAATTCAGAATTTATATAATATTCCTTAAAAATTTATCATTGTCTCTTTATCGATAGATTTTACGCGGTATAATTTATAATATAATATAATATAATATATATAGTATAATATAGTATAATTTTATATAATTATATTTTTTCTTTCAAAAATTAAAAAAAATTCATTCTCTTCAAAAAAAAAACAACAAAGAACTGGAATACAAGGCACAAAGAACCGATCCAATGTTCAATGTCATTGCCAGAATGGATACAGGTCAAGGTCATACCCGTTTATACCTTCGCCTCTATTACGTACTGCAAGAATTTGCCAGGTATGTATGTGCATGCTTGTGTTTGACGATTCAGTGTCATTCATCATGTTTTGGTTTGTATGTATGTATGTATGTTTGTTGGTTTGTTTGTATGTATGAATGTATGTATGTGTGTGTGTGTGTGTGTGTGTGTGTGTGTGTGTGTGTATGTATGTGCGTGTGCGAGTGTAAATTTGCATTTGTTTGTGTTTTGTATTTTATACAAAAATCTGTGTTTTTGTGTCAAAAAACAACCTCTCCGTAATGAATTTTCTTAAAAATTTCGAATATATATGGTAATAATAATAATAATATTTATTTTTCAATAATATTAATAATAATAATATTTATTTTTCAATAATATTAATAATAATGATAATAATATTTATTTTTCAATAATATTAATAATAATAATTTTGTTGTTTTCGTTCTCCCCCAGGTTTCACGGAACTCAACCTTGCAGACCAAGCAACTCTAATCAGGCTCGGTGTGTGTTTTGTCTGTGTGTTTGTTTGTCTGTGTGTTTGTTTGTCTGTGTGTTTGTTTGTCTTTGTGTGCGTGTATGTGGGTGTGTGTGTGTGTGTGGGTGTGTGTGTATGGGTGTGTGTGTGTGTGAAAACAGCAGCAGCAGTAGTAGCAGCAGTAACATCAGTAGCTGCAACAATAGCAGTAGTAGCATAGATGACGATCAATGATAGTAAATAAACGAACGAATGAATGAATGAATGAATGAATAATTACAAAAACTAGGTCAAACGCAGAGTAGAATAATGGTGGCAGCCAATCATTGGTTTGACCCAGTTAAAGGGGATTTCATCCAGTTTCTGTCATGGCGAACAAAGGATCTATTCAAGGAGCGACTCATCTGCTACGCTAAGAAAATTAAAAATCTGAAGTTGGACCTTATAGAGTCTGCTCTCTTCAATGCCCTTGTCATTGTAGCAGCCGGTAAGTTTTGTGGGGTCCGTAGAGAGTGGGGTTTTTTTAGGGATAGGGTTTTTTTAGGGTGGTCTGTATGTTTTTGTGTGTTTGTTTGTTTGTTTGTGTGTGTATTCGTTTGTTTGTTTGTGTGTGTGTTTGTTTGTTTGCGTGTTTGATGGTAACGAAAATTTTATGGATTATTATTATTTTTTGTAGATAAATGAGATGATATTGTAATGATGACGATGATGACGATCACAATGATGATGATGACGGTGGCGATAATGATAGTATTGAAGATGATGATGATGATGATGATGGTGATGACGACGACAACGATGAGCAGATTACCCTGGACTCGAGGATCCAGATTGCATCAACAGGATGAGGCAGAAGTTACTCCTGCCATTCCGAGCCTATACCACTGGTCAGTCGTGTGACGATGATGATAACGATGATGATAACGATGATTCGTTTACCTAATCATTCATCCATCATTCATTTGCTCGCTCGCTCATTCATTCATTTCATCCATTCATTCATTTGTTCTTCCACTCTTCGTCCGCGCATTTACCCGCCAATTCATCAACATACTCATTCACTCACCAATCCGCAAAATTCACAGCGAAGTATGGAACGCCGAACCAAAGACTGGAATTATTGTTTAGTCACGTGCCGGAAACACGCCAACTAGGCTTTCTGCACTACAAGATGACCATGAAGGCCAGTCTGAAAGCCGAAGAGGTCGAGAAAAATGGCGACGGTTGCAAGATGGAGGGCAGCGGTGCTGGTGATCATGATGACGATCGAGGGTGATGATAATGGTGAAGACGTTCTTGATTGTGATTATGACGATGGTAGCGGTGGTGGTGATAGTGATGATGATAAGTTAGAGGATGGTGATGGCGCGGGTGATAGTGATGATGATGATAAGTTAAAAGATGATGATGACGATGATAAACTAGATGATGCTCATTATTATTATTATTATTATTATTATTACAATTGATAGATACGATTGATATAGTTATTGTTATTATTATCATTAATATTTATTATTATTATTATTATTATTATTATTATTATTGTTATTATTAATTATTTGACATAGATTGTATGTCAAATTAGTGGAACACCAGTTTATATATATATATATATATATATATATATATATATATATATATATATATATATAAAACAATAATAATAATAATAATAACATGAAAGATATCAGGTGCCAACAATGTGTATCAGATACACTAAGGCTTCCATTTTCATTTTTTTCTTCAAAAATTTAACACCATCGCGATATGCTTTTAACAAAAGTTTATTATTATTATTATTATTATTATTATTATTATTATTATTGCTGTCATTATTATTGTTACTGCTATTAATAATATTATTATTAACATTATTATAAAATGGGTAAAATGATTTTGGAGTGAGGGAGAGAGAGAGGGAGAGAGAGAGAGGGAGAGAGAGAGAGAGAGAGAGGAACAAAAACATACATACATACTACAAACAAACAAACAAAACACACACACATACCTATATGTAAATATTACCGGTGTTATAATCTTGAAACTTCATATAGATATTTTCTACACTATACTACAATCATATATATATATATATATATATATATATATATATATATATATATATATATATAT